GCAGGGGTCGAGGGTCGTGTGTGGTTATTACTGTACTCAGCGGGGCAGGGGATAGTGCAGAGGTCGAGGGTCGTGTATGGTTATTACTCTACTAACTTTTTTGTTTACTTCCTCCTTTTCTGCCATCCTTTCATATTTTTGTCAGTACCCTTTTACTCATAGTTTTCGCTTCATTCTATTTCTTTGTTAACCTTTGTCACACACAGTTTCTCGTAATTCCTTCTTTAGTTACTGGTACAGATGTTTCTCTACTTTGCTGGTATATCTTGAGTAATGTCTCTTGTCTCACGTACTGTTTTTCCTTTCATGTTTCTTACTGTAATTAATACAAAAACTCGCTCATTCCTGTGTGACTCTCATATAGTCTTGTTCATTGTCTTGAATTATCCCGCCATTCTTTACATTCTCACCTCCACAAAGTAATCAAGGTTTAGTACCATGTTTCACCGGCTACAAAACTTTCTTAATTTTCTGTAACCTCAATGTCTGCTTCACTTAATGTTATATCTAGTCTTATAGCTTCATCCTCCCGCCATAGCCTTGTAAAATCGTTAACATGTTTGCTTTATGAATTTTCCCATTGCTGCTGCCTTCAGTTTTTCTTTCCGTGTTTCTTGTCCTCCGGGAGATTCATAGTTCTCCCAGACATTTTTTTTTTTGTTTAAAATCTCCTATGATAAGTAGCTTCGCCTTCGCTATATTTGCTGCTTGTCTTCCTCCTCACAAAATCTGTACTACTTCTCTGTTCTCATCATACTCGTCTTAGATGTTTGATTGTAATTTATTATTTTTATTAATACATCGGCCATTTCCTACAGAGGCAGAATGACCTGAAAAAGAAGAAACTCATAATCACTCATTCCATCACTGTCTTGCCAGAGGCGTACCTACACTGCAGTTCAAAAACAGCAACATATCTCCATCCCTCCTTCAGAGCGCAGACACTGTACTTCCCACCTCCAGGACTTTAAGTCCGGTTAACCTGTTTTCCTGAATCCTTTCATAAATGTTACTTTGTTCACACAGCACATCGTCATAAAAACCACTTGCCTCCGTTTGTTCCTAACACGCTCACGCATACTTGCTGGAAGTCTAAGCCCCTCGCACAGAAAACCACCTTTACCCCCTCACCCCCTCCTTCCATCCTTTCCTAGCACGACCTCTACCCTGCCTCCCTTCCACTACAGATTTATACGCCTTCCAAGTCATTCTATTCTGTTCCATCCTCTCTAAATGTCTAAATCACCTCAACAACCACTCATCAGCCCTCCTAATCTCCAAGCTACGGATTCTCTGCCTAATATTTACACCACACATTACCCTCAGACACAACATCTCCACTGCCTCCAGCCTTCTTCTTGAGTATAGCATTTACCACTCATGCTTCACACCCATATAAGAGCTTTGGTACCAATATACTCTCAAATATTTCCCTCTTTGCTTCCATGGATAATGTTCTTTGTCCCCACACACTTATCAGTGCACCTTTTTTCCCCTCACCTTGTCTTTTATAGACCCATCTGCTGACAAGTCCACTCCCGGATATCTGAAAACTGACTTCCTCCATACTCCCTCCCTCCAATCAGATATGCAGTCTTTCATTGCCTAATTTTTTTGTTATCCTTATCACCATACTCTTTCATACATTCACTCTTAATTTCCTTTTTTTACATACTCTACCAAACTCGTCCACCAGCCCCCTGCAGCTTCTCTTTAAAATCTCCCATAAGCACAGTGTCATCAGCAAATAACTGTGACAACTCCCACTTTGTGTTAGATTCTTTATCTTTTAATCCCACACCTCTTGCCAACACCCAAACATTCACTTCTCTTACAACCCCAAATATAAATATATTGAATATCCATGGTGACATCACGCATCTCTGTCCGTAGTAATTTTACTGTTTACACCCTCACCTTCACTAGATAATCAAGGTTTGGTACCATGTGTCACCGGCTACAAAACTTTCCTTTTTTTCTGTATCCTCTTTGTCTGCTTCACTTAATACTATGTCTAGTCTTGCAGCTTCTCATATCCTTGTAAATTATTATAATAAAAAAAAAAGCGCTAAGCCACAAGGACTATACAGCGCTGCAGGGTAGGAAAGGAAGCGAGGGTATTGGGCGGCAGAAGGGGGGAGGGGCGATCAGTAGGTTACAGAAAACAGCGGGCGGGGGATAGTGCAGGGTAGAGGGCAGCAAGAGATTGTAGTAGAAAGGGCTGAAGGTATCATCAGAGATTGTGAAGCAGTCAGTTGTTGTCAAAAAGTCAATGAGAGAGTCCGGATGAAAGGTGGGTCCATCAGCGAGAAGGGAAGGTAAAGAGAGAGCAGCGGAGCGAAGACGACGTTGGGGTAAATTCTGCGTGCTAGTTGATAAAGTGGGCAGTCTAACAAAATGTGGCTGACCGATAATGGAACCTGACAATTCTCACAGAGAGGAGCAGGGTGCCTCTCCATGAGATATCCATGAGTAAGACGAGTATGGCCAATGCAGAGACGGAGAGAGAGTAGTCTCCCAACCTCGGCACTGGTGACAAGAAGACGGCCAGTAACCTATACTCGGTTTGATAGATTGAAGTTTGTTACCGAAGTAGACCAACGTTGTTGCCAACGGATGTGAAGGTGGGTAGCTATTGCAGCAAAATAGTCCAGAAATGGAACACCTCTATATGAAACTGGTAGGTCATGTACTGCTGACCGCGCAGCAGTGTCTGCCTGTTCATTGCCCTGTACGTCAACATGACCAGGGACCCAACAAAAAACAATATCTTTATGCTTGGTAGAGATGCGGCGTAGCCAAAGTTGGATACGGAGGACTAAGGGGTGAGGTGTATCAAATTTCTGTATAGCCTGTAAAGCACTAAGGGAGTCTGAGACAACCACAAATGATGACACAGACATAGATGCAATACGGATAAGTGCTGCAAGAATGGCATACAATTCTGCAGTAAAGATACTAGCCGAAGATAGTAAATGCCCTCGTACGACGCTGTCCAGAAACAGTGCTGCGAATCCTACGCCGTCAGAAGACTTAGAGCCATCTGTGTACACTGCAATGGCATGAGGATGAGAGTGGAAGTGGTCAAGAAAAAGAGAGCGGGAAGCTACCGTAGACAGTTGGGCTTTCGAGCAAGGGAAGAAAGAACAGACCTGAACAGCTGGAACTTCCCAGGGGGGTAGGGAAAAGTGAGATGCTACATGAACATAAAAAGGTGGAAATTGAAGAGAAGACAAGAACGAATGTAGGCGAAGAGAGAAGGGACGGAGCAAACAGAGGCGGCAAACAAATAAAGAATGTCTACTAATATCGGTGACCATTCTATAAATGGAAGGATTTGCGGAGATCATGAGAGCGTACATAGTAGCGAAGGCAATGGGCATCACGGCGATTGGATAAGGATGGAACGTTCACTTCTGCATAGAGGCTCTCAACAGGGGAAGAGCGAAAAGCACCAAGGCATAAATGTAATCCTTGGTGATGAATAGGGTTGAGGCTAGATAAGAGTAGCAGGAGAGGCAGCTGAATAGATCTGGTCACCATAATCAAGTTTCAATAAAACGAGGGGTGGAATGTAGGCGAAGAGAGTTCGACGATCAGCTCCCCATGAAAGATGAGCAAGGGTTTTAAGAAGGTTCAGCCGGCTGTGACAAGTCTTCAGAGAGGTAATGTGAGGTTTCCAGGATAACCTATGGTCAAAGAGGAGGCCTAAAAAACCGGGAATGTATCACTTTTCAGGGAAAAATACGGGGAGCCATAGAGGTACAAAGGATGATCAGAGATGCCCAGAGCGTCTAGTGAAAGTAATTTGGGGGTTTTTTGGTACTGGAAATTTAAACCCATGTGTGGTGGCCAATTGGAAACACGGTGACCGCATGCTGGAGAGAAACTGTAATGAGGTGACAGTCAGCGCCTGCACAGGCAATAGCGAAGTCATCAACAGAGTTAATATGTTTGCTTATGAATTTTCCCGTTGCTGCTTCCATCATTTAAATCTTTAAAATCTCCACCTCTTTGAAACTCAACATATTTTTGGTCAGTAGTGCCACAATTTTCTCTCCTTACTTTGTGATATTCCTCAGGGACTTTATTGGTTATCATTCCTGCGAGCTTCATTTTTTCTACTGCTGCTATATCTGGTTTTGCTTCTAATATTTACACATGCATCTCAACTTTTTTTTTCTAGTGATGATACCATTATTTGTGGCTTGGTAAGCAACGCACTCACCTCACACCTGAAGGTGTCCATGGTTCAGTCCCGGGCCGGGTGGAAATGTTGGGTATATCTCCGATGACACAGTGACCTTTGTAGTGATCTGACCCTCTAATTTTAATGTAATAGCTGAATGTGCCTTACCCTAGTATATCTCCTTTTATTGTAACTACTTTTCACATAGTTAAATTACTTACCTGTTTTAACTTTTAAGTTTTAAGTATTAATTTATCATGAGGCCCCAATGTAAATAAGTCACTTTGACTTTTTTGGGTTATATTAGGTAATCTATACATATGCTATGTATAATAATTTATTTAACTGTATTTAGTGTACCTTTTTTCTATGATCATGATTCTTCCACATTAGCTCGGACCTCCCTATGTGTACCTGTACCTAAATAAAGTTACTTACCTTTTTTGGGTAAATCTGGGTAGCTAGCTCTCCAGGTTTAAAAACCTTAACAAATCTTATTTTAATAATAAACTTGTTTGTCTCTGATACATCAGGTTGTTGCTTGTCGCTGGTGTGACACACCCCTTTTTACATTTTGAAGATCTGCAGGGAAATCCAGGGTACGGTTGGCAATGTAACATTTTGTATAGAGATTCCAGTGTTGGATTTTTGCAGGGAAACTTGAAATTTGGTGCAAGGAGGGAGTGGGGGTAAGGGAGGTGCTGTTTGTCTTTAAATACTAACAGTTTCTCGCGTTTCCCGTTCAATTGGCTGATGATGTGATTCAGTGTAGGTTACATCCTGCGTTCCTAATTTCGTTTTTCTGTCACAG